TGGTACAGGCTGGGGACTGACTGGCTAAGTAGCAGTTCAGCAGAAAAAGACCTGTGGATTGCAGTGGATGAGAAGCTGGATATGAGTCACCAGGGTGCCCTTGTAGCTAAGAAGGCTAATGGCATATTAGGTTGCTTCAAGAGGAGCATTGCCAGCAGATCCAGATAAGTGATTATTCCCCTTTATTCTACACTAGTGAGGCCACATCTGGAATATTGCATCCAATTCTGCGCGCACATACCCCACCACAGAAAGGATGTGGACGCATTGGAGAGGGGCCAGTGTGGGGCAACCAAAAAGACTAGGGGGCTGGAGCACATGACCTACGAGGAGAAGTTGAGGGATTTGGGCTTATTTAGTCTGCAGAAGAGACGGGTGAGGGGTGATTTGATAGCAGCCTTCAACTCCTTGCAGGGGGGTTCCAAAGAGGATGGAGAGAAGCAGAACAAGAAGAAATGGGCTCAAGTTACAGTGGGGGAGGTCTAGCCTGGATATTAGGAAAAACTATTTCCCTAGGAGGGTGCTGAAGCACTGGAATGGATTACCTAGGGAGGTGGTGAAATCTCCATCCCTAGTGGTTTTTAAGTCTCAGCTTGACAAAACCCTGGCTGGGCTGACTTAGTTGGAGTTGGTCTTGCTTTGGGCAGAGGTCTGGACTCGATGACTCCTGAGGTCTCTTCCAGCCCTATGATTCTATACCATCTATATGTTTTGTTAGTCTTCAAGGTGCTACTAGAGTATTTGTTGTTGCTGAAGTTTTTCTTGTTACAGACTAATTCGGCTACCCCTCTCAAACCATACAGTGGGACATCAGAGAAAGCAAACTAAGATCCGATGTATGGAAAATAACAGCATATACACACTTTTCTGAACAGAAACTTCAGACACAGTAAATACGCAGCTTACCGTTTTCAACGTGTGCAAGTCTGTGCATGAGAGGTAGCCACACAAGGCACTGGGGGGGTGGATCAACCATCAATGTGTCTAAAAACATATTTAGCATTATCTTTTTCTGTAAAAGAAACAAAAGCATGACTCACTTTCAAGATAACTGCATTCTTTGCCATTACTTCCATCCTATGGTTTCTTTAGCATTAATTTACTGTTTGTTCCATATTGTTGAGGACAGATACAATCACTCTTACTCCCCAAGAAATTTTCAAACAGACAGTACATCACAAACAAGACAGTACATACTACATACATTATCAATAAATACATACTACATATGTAAATTCAAAGGGGACGAGTATGTAATCAGTATTTTGTGAGGCACAGTTGAAAGGTCTTGCAAAGAAGTAGTGTAAAGGAGGGATTCAAATGTGAAGTGAAAAGGTTGTTTAGTGAACTGGAGTTCCAAGCACACGGTACAACACTGAAAAAAGTACAAAGACAAGGAAAGGTGGAATGAAAAGGAGTATTTCAGTTAATAAGGGAGAAGAAATGTGATTAGAAACAGGTATGGGCAGAACTGTACTAAAAGGTGAATAAATGGGCAAGTAAACTGATTTTAAATTAAGAGACTGATAGAAAGAAGCGGATTTTCAAGCAGAGAACACTCTCCAGACCTAGATGCATACGTTTCATGACTGCAGACAAATAGGGAAGGAAAGAAGGAAGAATGCATACCAATGAGTTTTGTCAGGAAGAAAAGCTAAGGAAACTATGGCTAAAGGGAAAAAACTATTTCACTAGGTAACTTCTTAAATAGGCTTCCACTTTTACAGGAGGAAACAAGACCTGTGCAAGGCCAGACACATCTAGTTTTGAAGCCAAAAACCCTGCTCTGCCAAGTGATCTGAGGGATAAGAAACACTGTTCAGGCAGCCTGCCTTGTCCCGTCTCCCTAGCCATTGGCGGCACATCAAAGCGGCCACCCTGACGGTGATTAAAGAAGATGGTGGCAGCCCTGCTCACAGCAGTGAGGCATAAAAGGCCAAAGCCTGCTTTATAGGAGAACTGTCCATCATTCTTCTGGGCAGCAAGCACCCGTGACTGAAGCACTCTTTTTGGAGAAACTTGCTACGTCCAATTCACCTGTATCGTGTGTCTGCCTTTCCCCCCTGATGAGTACAAACCCATACAAATAAAGGGCTGGAAGGGACATCGAGAGGCCATGTAGTCCAGCCCCCTACAGCAAGGCAGGATGAAGTATGCTTACATGATGCCTGAGAGGTGTGTGCCCACCTGTTCTTAAAAACTTCCAGTTGACGGGGATTCCACCGTCTTCCTGCACTTAACAACCCCTATAGTTAGAAGATTTTTCCTACTATCTAACCTAAATCTTTCTGAGACTGGAAGTGCCTATGGCAGCCCTCACACTGAATGCCAAAGTCAATGCAGGAAGCAAAAGAGCGAGCAAACACTGGTGGGAAACACCGAAGTTAAACCTCCCATCCAGTCCCAAACTGAGCTCCTGACCTCCCACATCAGTTATCAAGAAGCAAAAACAGCCCTCTTCTTGCATTCCCGCCTCAAGGTCCTATTCAGCACTCAGGTCCAGGACAGTGACAAGTTATTTTAAAACTCTGCTCACGTGTTCAAAATAGAGTTGCCGGGTGTCCGGTTTTGAACTGGACAGTCCGGTACTTGAGCTTTCTGTCTGGGAAATAAATTGAGAAAATACTGGACAAAGAAATGTCCGGTATTTTCTAATTAAGTTAGTTTTATTATTATGAGCATCAGTACGTAGTTGCATACTGCCTGGCTGGCAGACATTCTCACACCATGTAAGCATGTCTATCAGCCAGGCGCACGCAACTACACAGTAGAAAGGAGGGGGGTGGGGCCAGGGAGGAATGGAATCTCCAAGGCCGGACTCGCCCATGCGCCCCGCTGGGACCATGTGCAGGATGGGCAGCGCCCCGGGATCTGCATGCGCCCGGGCCAGCCCCGCTCCCCACCAGCTGGTTCCCCCCGGCCAGCCCCACTCCCCCCCATTCCCTCCTGGCCATCCCTGCTTCCTGCTGGCGAACCCCTGAAATCAAATTGTAGAAAACCGACCCCCTCCTGGCCAGCCCTGCTTCCCGCCAGCTGGTTCTCCCCCCCCATATCCCCCAGCCAGCCCTGCTCCTCTCCAACCTCCTCCCGGCCAGCCCCACTCCCCTCCCAGCCGGTCCCCCTCCCCGAACTGAGATCAAGTGTGTCTGTTTTGTTTTTTGTTTGTTTTTTTTAAGCCATCTGGTAATCCTAGTTCAAAATGTTCTTCTGATCCCAAGGGGGCAGCTGCATTACCAGGCCAGTACCCCCATATCCCCCAGCCAGCCCTGCTCCTCTCCAACCTCCTCCCGGCCAGCCCCACTCCCCTCCCAGCCGGTCCCCCTCCCCGAACTGAGATCAAGTGTGTCTGTTTTGTTTTTTGTTTGTTTTTTTTAAGCCATCTGGTAATCCTAGTTCAAAATGTTCTTCTGATCCCAAGGGGGCAGCTGCATTACCAGGCCAGTATAGATTTGGATCTTACCTCAAGTACTACACTGCCAGTCAATCCTTTAGTGTCTAAAACTAAAGGTTTATTATAAAGAAAAAAAGAAGAAAAGAACTGTAAAATGGTAAAACAGTCACATATGTACAAAGACTTAAAAGTCCATGTATCAGGTTCCTAGCAGTACTGGTGAGTTTGCTGTCTTAAAAGCCTGAAATACGTCCATGGGTTGGAATGGTCATTCAGTCTTTGTTCAGAACTTCAGTTATGGCAAAGTTCCTCCAGAGAGAAAAAGAACAGAACCATAGAATACCAGAACTGGAAGGGATCTCAAGAGGAAAGACTGAAGACAAAATGAAGACGACACAGCTAGCTACCTTTTACATTCCTTTTGCCAGGTTGCTTATACTTCCTTTGTTGCAAACAGAAGACCTGGAAGCCTTAAGAGTTCCATCCATAGCCATGCTCCTATATATCTTGCTGAGTCATAAGGCTATCCCCTACCTTCTATCAAGGGGTCAATTGAATAGCTGATGGGTCGTCAATGGACCCTCAAGCAAGCTAGGCTGTGCTTATACTAAAATGTCACCCAGAAGCAGAGCACAAGTTTTGAAATACAGACACACACAGGTATCCCATAACCTACAATACAAAGCTAATCACCCGGTACTTATAGCCCACTTTATTAGCCTCATTTAACATAGAAAATCTAATTGGCAATATTTTCCCCCATTCTTTCAAGGCATATCTGGTATAATTCATTGCCATTCTACAATATTGATATTCAAAATATCCTAAAGTGTCCCCCACACTTCAGATAGTGTCACACTCCCATTGCTTCTTTTTTAACTATCTTCACCCGACATTAGAACAATTGATTACCATCCCCTATGCAACACCTCTCAACAAATCTGAAGACTTATCACATCCTTACTCAGGTTTCTCCCCTCAAGACAATATACATGATTTTTTTTAACATCTCCTTCCAGGTTAGGATTCTAAACCTTTTATCATTTTTGTTGTTCTCCAGATTCTCTCTAAGTTGTCCACATCTCTCAAAGAGTATATAGCTTAACAAAGAGAATGTTAACGGATGACTTGATTACAGTCTATAAGTATCTACGTGGGGAAAATGTAATAGCGGTCTCTTCAATCTAGTAAAGAAATTTGTAACAGCCTATGCCATTATGCTAACCACTTTTGAGAAACTATGATAAATTTGGTACATAGTATGCCATTTGAAAACTCAATCTACCAAACATTACTGTCCTGGTAAAATATGTGCATCAACATAGTGTGTAAAATTATAAGTCTAAACTGTATAACATTGCTGTAACATGTTCCAGAGGCAGGCCCAAGCCAGTTTTTCAGAGACTAAGATACACTGGCACTTCAGCCAACTGTTAATCAACTCTCACCTGCTTAAAATACAACAAATGGTCCTCTGGCAAGGAGTTCCACAGGTTGATTGTGCGCTGAGTGAAGAAAAACTTCCTTCTGTTTGTATTAAACCAGCTGCCTATTCATTTCATTTGGTGACCCCTAGTTCTTATGTTGTGGGAATAAGTAAATAACTTTTCCTTATTCACTTTTTCCACACCAGTCATGATTTTATAGACCTCTTGCATATCCCCCCCTTAGTCTCCTCTTTTCTAAACTGACAAGTCCAAGTCTTTTTAATCTCTCCTCAAAGAACTCAAATGGGAAATTGCGGAACTATTAACTGTGGTTTGTAGCCTATCCTTTAAATCAGTTTCCGTAACTAATGATTGGAAGGTAGCTAACGTGATGCCAATATTTAAAAAGGGCTCTAGAGGTGACCCTGGCAATTACAGACCGGTAAGTCTAATGTCAGTACCGGGCAAATTAGTTGAAACTATAGTAAAAAATAAAATTGTCAGACACATGGATGAACATAATTTGTGGGGGGAAGTCAACATGGTTTCTATAAAGGGAAATCATGCCTTACTAATCTGCTAGATAAACTTTAAAAACAACAAATGTTCTGGTAGCACTTTATAGACTAACAAAACATGTCGATGGGATCATGAGCTTTCGTGGACACAGCCCACATCTTCAGATGATCTGAGTTTTGAGTTTAGGATGTGCAGACCCAAAATAAATAGGGGAAAAGGGAGAGAGGGGAAGGAAAAAAATGGAAGGGGACGGGAAACAAGGAGCAGAGGGTATGAAAATATCCAAGGGAAAACCAAATAGGTAGAACTGGTAGATTGACGTGTAGAATCAATGGACACAAATCAGATATATGTATAGGCAACATACAGAAACCTGTTGGGGAACGCTTCCATCTACCTAATCACCCTTTAAAAGATCTCCTAGTAGCTGTTTTGTCACAAACCAATTCTACAAGCCAAATATACAGAGAGGTGTTGGAATTACAATTCATCCACAAATTCAATTCTCACACTGAGATAACAGATGGCTGGGACATTAACAACATTCAATGAAGGTGCCAACAGCTCTTTGTCTGTGTAGATTCTTGCATTAGTATCTTCCCTCTCTAATTGCTATCCTATGATCCTTATCTGCTTCTTTTAACTATCCAATCTTTAGGTGCTTATAGATTACCAGTTCTGCCTATTTGGTTTTCCAAGTGGAGAGAAGTAACTAGTGGGGTTCCCCAAGGATCTGTCCTGGGACCCATCCTATTCATTTTATTTATAAATGATCTAGAGATTGGGGTTAATAGTAAGTTGGCAAAATTTGCAGATGATACCAAAGTGCTCAAGATAGTTCAATGGCTACTATCCAGGCTGGGTAGGGATGTTGTCCTGGGCCTCTGTTTCTCTGGAGGTAGGTGACTGGGGAGGGATCACGTGAGGATTCCCTCTGGGGCATCTGGCTTTGGCCTCTGTCGGCAGACAAGACACTGGGCTGGACGGACCGTTGGTCTGACCCAGTCTGGCCGCTCTTATGTTCTAACCTGCTGATTTGGAAAGTTTGTAGCATAGAAAAGTGTTTATTTAATTAGAAATTCTGTAATGGTAATTGGGGTGGGTATAATAATATTCACCACCTGCTTATTAGTATTCACTGCATGGCAGTTAATACACCAAATAAGGTTTTAGGAAAAGTAGTAACATACTAAAATAGATTAAAGGGTGTAATTGGTGTCAAACTGTTGCCACTTGGACTTTGCATTGAATGTCCAAGGTAAACATGTGTGGACAATAAAGCAGTTCCATTTACCCCATCTGCTCCTGGGTCGCCTGTTTCTTCTCTAACAAAGTGCCCACACAGAATGCACAGAGCTATTCAAAGTCTCCAGTCAAAGGCACATGAACACCGGAAGTGAAACACCTATAGCGTCAATAATTGAAAGGGAATCTGTTGTTCAAAAGCCCCTGAATTTGGATCAGTAACCAAACCCCACATCACCAACAGACACATCGACTGTGTCTAGACTGGCAAGTTTTTCCGCAAAATCGCATGATTTTGCGGAAAAACTTGCCCGCTGTCCACACTGGCCGCTTGAATTTCCGGAAAAGCACTGACAATCTCATGTAAGATCATCAGTGCTTTTCCGGAAATACTATGCTGCTCCCATTTGGGCAAAAGTCTTTTTCCGAAAGACTTTTGCACAAAAGGGCCAGTGTAAACAGCACAGTAGTGTTTCCCGCAAAAAAGTCCCGATCGCAAAAATGGCTATCGGGGCTTTTTTGTGGAAAACCGCGTCTAGATTGACCATGGACGCTTTTCTGCAAAAAGTGCTTTTGCGGAAAAGTGCCCTGCCAATCTAGATGCAATTTTCCGAAAATGCTTTTAACGGAAAACTTTTCCGTTAAAAGCATTTCCAGAAAATCATGCCAGTCTAGACATAGCTAGTTATGATGATTTTAGAGCATTTAATGTTAAGCTTTAAAAAGAAATGTGATTTCAGCCTTAAGTACAGGGGAGCTAACACGCGGCTTCCATTTACTCAGATCCACTTAAAAAATGTTTGGTGGACACAACACACAATCAGAAAAAGAATGTACAGTAAACCATAACAGAAGACGCCACTGGATTTTAGAAGGCAGCATTATTTCAACATGCAATATACAATCACACTTTGTAACTCTTACTTGCTGTGGGAAACATGTCCGTACAGAATGTTCTGTGTATCCAAAAGAAGGCCCTTCAAATACAGCTGTTGGAAGTTTTAACACTTCTCTCAAAAACTGATCAAACTTTGTAAATATCATCAATCCATTGGAATCTGACATTTGGGAGAAAACATCTACAAGAAGAATAAAATAAAGCAAAACCTTAGAATATGTTTCCTAAAAAAATGTATTTTATTTTCCACCACAAAATTGTATGTAGTTATGCAATCTATTTCTTCTTGTTTTACCATGAACATCGATTTTCCAAGATAGGATATAAAACTGAACGTGAATGGACTTCATTTTATTATATATCCTCCAGGTTCCCTCCCAACATCCCTATGTAAAATACTTTTCCAGTGTCCTAAAAACCTCAAAGCCCAATATGTTGAAGGCAAGAGAGCTGGATTTGGTGTAGAAGAAAGAGAAAGCTTGAAGCATGGGCTTGCTGCAAGGTTTGAAGGCTGAATCAAAATAAGCAAAAGTTACGCTATAAGCAACAGTCAGGCTCTGTCAAAAGCAGACGCTAGACTGCAATAGGAGCTAGTATTGCTAAAACACAGTGAATATGTAAACACTTGCCAGCAGGCCAGCTCAAGAACATTACAACCGAGCATAGGGCTGGGCAATCATTTTTGAAGGGGGGCCACTTCACAAATTTCTTAAGTGGCCCTGGGCCGCCCCAGAAGGGGCGAAGCGTCGGGCCGAATAGGTGGAGCCAAGCAACTTCCTGTGCTCCGCCACCCACAGACCATGATTGGCCTGGGGGTAGGGTTGCCAGGTGACTGTTTTGAACTGGACAGTCCAGTATTTGAGCTCTCTGTTTGGGAAACAAATTGAGAAAATAGAAATGAGAAGATAGAACTGTCCGGTATTTTCTAAATAAGATGTAATGTAGATTGTGATGTAATGTCACTTGTGTCCGGTATTTTTGTTGAAACCCTCTGGCAACCCTACTCGGGGTGGGGGAGCACATGATGTCTTTGCCCCCCAGCACCTAGAGGGAACTGCCAGCTGTTTTGAACAACTGGCATTTCCCTCTACATGCCATGGACCCCTGGCATCAGGAGGAGACTTTGCACACTTCCCCCACCCCCAGGCCAATCAGGAACTGAGGTCAAGGGAGTGTGTGAAGTCTTTGCCCCCTGCCCTCACCCTGCAAAGGGTGCACAGCACCTAGCGGGAACCATCAGCTGTTTTTAACAGGTAGCAGTTCCCTCTGGTGCTGCGCACCTCTGGTGGGAAAGGAGACTTTGCACGCTCCCTCATCGCCAGGTCTCTATTGACCCGAGGGCGGGGGAATGGCAGGGCGGCTGTAGGCCAGATCAACCAGCTGTCTTGTCCACTCCGACATAGCAACCAGGTCTCTATTGACCCGAGGGCAGGGGAATAGCAGGGCGGCTGTAGGCCGGATCAACCAGCTGTCTTGTCCACTCCGACATAGCACATAAATAGTTTGATAAATGTGATGAATAGTGATGTTTTGCCAGAACTGTTACAAGGTACAAAAGCAGGTGGTGAACAGGGATACTTTTCTAAAACATCAGGAGGAAAGTACAGGGGGAGATAATAAACATGTTGTGAAACACATCTGGTTGTTTATCCCAGCTTGTTTGTCTCCAGCTATAAACATTGGGATAGATGCCCTTAAACTTCCATCTAACCTATAGGACTGTGGGAAAAGACCCACCGCTAACTGTGCTGCATCAGTTGTCATGGGCATACACATGCTAGTGTAATTGTAAACAATGATCAGGAGAGCTAGGACCATGGTTCATCAGCAATACACCTGGCCAATGTCCTTCACTACTAAAACCATCTTGAGGTCTTAAGGAGCAGTTCGACCAGAGCCAGTGTAGCACACTGAAAGAACACATACACAAAGCCAGTGCCTCTGACTCAGTTAACCCAGTCATTCTGCATTCAAACCTGTTGGGGATCAAAGAGTTAATCCTCCTTCCACTGAATCCAGGCACATAAGTATGTTTAGGTTGCTAACAATGAACAGTCAAGAACTGTATCGAGTTGACTGACAAGGAGCAAAGAAAATCTTTGGATTTTTTTTTTTATTTTAAAGGAAAAAGTTTCATCCTGACAGAGAGAAACATCAGAAATGTGAAAGTTTTCAAGGAGAGGGATTTTAAGAAAAACTGTAGCAGAAGAATCAACAGAATTTTTCAGCTTCCCAGTTGCCTTCAGGGAAGGCTCTGAAAAAGATTTATGGATCTTGGTGGATAATCATCTGAACCTGAGCTCCCAGTGCACCACTGGGACCAAAAGGGCAAATGCGATCCTTGGATGCATAAATATGGGACTCTTGAATGTGAACTGAGAGGTTACTTTTAGGGCTGCCAAAGGATTTAAGAAAATGAATTACAATTCACCACAGTTTTAATTGCACTGTTTAATAATAATGAAATGCCATTTATTATAAATACTTGGGATATTTTCACATTTTGAGATATATTGATTTCGATTACACAACAGAATACCAAGTATACAAAGCTAGCATATACTATTTTGCCTACAAATATTTGTGCCATAAAAAGGGGTAACCAAAACAAACAGTTCTTTTCAGTTCACTTCATGCAAGTAGTGCAGTGCAATCTCTATCATGAAACCGCACTGGACACATGCAGAATCGTGTGTGTTACATCAGTGCGCTCACAAGAAACCAATGTCAAACGTACAATGCTATGTAAGAAGAAGCAAAATGCAGGACAATGTAGCACTTTAAAGACTAACAAGATGGTTTATTAGATGATGAGCTTTCGTGGGCCAGACCCACTTCCTCAGATCAAATAGTGGAAGAAAATAGTCACAACCATATATACCAAAGGATACAATTAAAAAAAAGTGAACACATATGAAAAGGACAAATCACATTTCAGGACAGGAGGGGGATGCGAGGGGGGGAA